GATGCCCTAATCATAAATTTTCTTACCTCAGCCCCAACCATGGTGGGGCTGAAGTGGGTGGTTCCTCAGTCTGTGAAAGTCCCTCCCTGGTTCACCTATCTTTCGAATTCCTGGATCTGCCACTGTTGATTTATTATATAATTATTTTTTCGCTTATTTATAATGCGTCTATTGCAATTTTCACTTTATCCTCTCAAACAGTCCTAAGAACGTTCAGAGTGCGCTACTTCACTGGGGGATTCGCCCCCTTGACCCCGCCGGAGGGCATACGTAATTCGCATAACGGCTCCCCCCCCCCTTCAAAATCCTGGCTACGTCCCTGCTTACAAATTAGGATAATGGTAAAGTTGTATACAAAGTTCCGAACATCGTAATGCAGTTTCAATAGTAAGAAACAGGGATGGCGCCAGGCCATCCCTAAGCCTCATAAGCCTCAGCCACCTCGTATATACAGTACGTCACATTGCTCACACGGTGTATGTGTGGTGTTTTTAGGTAGACGGTATGATTATACATAACGTGTCACCATACAAGCCACGCCCCCTCGGCTGAACCCGTTGTATTTAGAAACTAGTTGAAGATAAAATGAGATAATTACATTCACTCACAACACATCTGTTATCTCACAAATTCGGAAGACACTCGTTTTACAGGCTTTTACAACATCGGCCTATGTACTCAAATACTGCAGAGTTTCCCCATAGGATGGGCTCCAAGGGCAATACAATTTGTTTTTTAGGTCTATTGCATGACGGATCATCTGAAAATATCATACATCAAATTATAAACAGAAAAAAATAATAAATTGCAACAAGGCATAGAAACTACCGGTACTAAAGTACACTAATGTAAAAATGTCTTTCATTAATTTGGTGTTATGGGACATGCCATAACTAAGTACCATACATTTTGAAATGGTAGTTAAATATTTTACAGGTGTGTTCATTTTGGTAATTATCAAAGATTTTCAAGGAGTAAATGTTAATAAACCATATACAGAAAATATTTATCAACTGTACACAAGTCATTTTTAAGTCGTCAAAACTTAGTTTCTTATGGAAGAAAGACTTTTACAATCAAAAAGGAAATGGATAATAGTTTCAATCGCATTGGTCTTGCAAATGGTACGATGCCCAGTGTGTGTGACATATATGTGATCATAACCGTTTCTTGCCCTCTAAATCTAAAATATCGGTTGCTTTAAATAAGTTTGCCCCTTAAAAATTAGTTCATCTAAGAGATAGTAGGCCTGTACCATACTTGGTACATTCTTATACATAATATAACAATTTATTGGTTTTTTTTTCTTCGCTTTTCAAACCAATCTGTATCTTTATTGTGTGATGTTTAGACGCGTCCACACATCTCTAAATAGGGGCTACAGCTGTGTCGAACGATGGACCTACGATGAATAAGGTGAAAGAAAATTATTTTTTTGGCGAACTGAGAGGATACAATTGATTAAAAAAAAAGCGGCCCTTTTAATAATTTTAGATATTATTATAGTCAAGATTAGATGGGCAGAGGTCTAATTCAACAAAGGATCCAGTTAGCACAATGTATAAAAGGAACAGTTAAAAAAAATATGGCGTACCGGTATGTCTTCTCATGGAATGTACTGGAATGTTTTCCCATGGTGTTTATATCAGTGTTAAGTTTGCCATTTTGTTAATGATTTTAACTCTGTTCTGAATTTCTTTCTTTGTTTGTTTGATTTATTCGGCTTTATGTAAAACACGTACACACAATTAAAATACATGAAAATCATTTTTTAAAAAAGCGTCCAAGATCAAAATACAAAAAGGTCGGTTATTACAATAAAACAATAATCAAATTTGAAACAACAATCGACAAAGAGACAAAGCAACCTCAAGCCAAGGATGACCCATAAAGTCAAGTAATGACTTGTTTCCAATGGGGTCCTTTTAACACTAAACGGATTACAAGAACAACCTTTTTGAATGGATTTTATTATTTTAACTCTATTTAATTAATTTCCTACTTCTTTTGTTTGCATGTGCTGCTTTTTGTATGTGCTGCATGATTTTATATTTTATGGATTTTATGTATTTTTATTGTATGTATACTAGAATGTTTTCTCCTAAGAGTGGTGAATAAATCGAAAGATACTGTATGAATGTATACGTTTAATAATTTTTATTTATTTATTTTATTTTATTATCATTTTACTTGGTTATTCCTGACCCCTGCCGGGCCCGGGCCCCGCGGCAGTTTCCCCAGTTGTCACGGCCTCTCGGCGCCACTGTATATAATCGATGCGCTCGATTTGCCGCTGGTTGTTGTTGTTGATAAAGGTGTAACAGAGAGGTCTCGCACGCGAACGAATGTGTGTATGCATTATGTTTAACTATCCATAACGGTTCGTAGCCATCTGTGTTTTTCGTAATTCAAGCGCCTAGACTCTCTGCCTACTCCGTTTTTCTCTCTTACCATGCTTCTCAAAGTTTTAGTATGTAAAGTTTTGGAAATTGAAAATGGTAATATTAAATAATAATAATAATAATAATAATAATAATAATAATAATAATAATAAGAATAAGAATAAGAATAAGAATAAGAATAAGAATAATAATAAGAAGAAGAATAAGAATAAGAATAAGAATAAGAATAAGAATAAGAATAAGAATAATATAAGAAGAAGAAGAAGAATCCCTAGATGGATTTATATACTGTAGCGCAAATAAACGAAGTCTCTATGCGCTCGTAACTAAGAAGAAGAAGAAGAAGAAGAAGAAGAAGAAGAAGAAGAAGAAGAAGAAGAAGAAGAAGAAGAAGAAGAAGAAGAAGAAGAAGAAGAAGAAGAAGAAGAAGAAGAAGAAGAAGAAGAAGAAGAAGAAGAAGAAGAAGAAGAAGAAGAAGAAGAAGAAGAAGAAGAAGAAGAAGAAGAAGAAGAAGAAGAAGAAGAAGAAGAAGAAGAAGAAGAAGAAGAAGAAGAAGAAGAAGAAGAAGAAGAAGAAGAAGAAGAAGAAGAAGAAGAAGAAGAAGAAGAAGAAGAAGAAGAAGAAGAAGAAGAAGAAGAAGAAGAAGAAGAAGAAGAAGAAGAAGAAGAAGAAGAAGAAGAAGAAGAAGAAGAAGAAGAAGAAGAAGAAGAAGAAGAAGAAGAAGAAGAAGAAGAAGAAGAAGAAGAAGAAGAAGAAGAAGAAGAAGAAGAAGAAGAAGAAGAAGAAGAAGAAGAAGAAGAAGAAGAAGAAGAAGAAGAAGAAGAAGAAGAAGAAGAAGAAGAAGAAGAAGAAGAAGAAGAAGAAGAAGAAGAAGAAGAAGAAGAAGAAGAAGAAGAAGAAGAAGAAGAAGAAGAAGAAGAAGAAGAAGGAAGAATAAGAATAAGAATAAGAATAAGAATAAGAATAAGAATAAGAATAATATAAGAAGAAGAAGAAGAATCCCTAGATGGATTTATATACTGTAGCGCAAATAAACGAAGTCTCTATGCGCTCGTAACTAGATGTTGCACTTTTCAGTAACTTCATGTCCTCTGCAGCCAGAAAACCGGCGCACTTTCATCTTTCCACTAGAGGGGCCGAGTGAACCAGTACACCGGGGTAAATCCCAACTCATCTCGAAAGATGTACTGGGTTCTTTAGAGTGCACATGAGCATTTGTGTACACTGGGCCTACGGTTTATAGTCCTTATTCGAGAAGACTTGTTCCACCACCAGAACTATAGGAGCGAGCCGGCCGCAAACCCGTTTCGATATTGTTAGCTGTGTGTGTGTGTGTTAGCCCTGCCTTAACCGCTTGGCCATTTGGTAGCGAATAATACTCTTTCCTTTGTTGCCCAGAAGAGTTGGTTGTTTTGTGACAGGTCCTATTGTTTTTATGACCCAAAAATGCCTGGTTACAAGCTAAAATCCCAACACAAGCGAAAATCCCAACAGCACCAAAGTCCAAGCTTCGACGTTTTGATACCCCAAAATGAGATGCATCCTATCGTAATTTGCTGTCTTCAAATGTCACAAAAATGGCACGTGCGTATTCAAAGATACATTTATGTTTTACACTTAGATGTGAAAAAAGTGGGCGTGGTTGGGCGTTACTCAAAATATCTTGAAAGGGCGGTCGATCCGCTTGAGTCAGCCTGGCCTAGGCAAATTACTCTCTTGAATGGCCCGCTCGAGTTGGCTCTGTCAGTTGCGACCGAAAACTATATAAATAACGTTCTAAAATTTACATCTTTACTTCTAATGAGCACCAAAGTCGAGGAATTTGGTGTAGTAGTAGTTTGTGAGTTATGCTGCCGGAGGGACAAACACACCACAGACAGACAAACGCACACACATACAGACAGACGGAGCTCATTGCAATACCCTCTTAATGACGGAACTCAGCACTTTAAAGACTAACTATACATTCATATTTTTCCTTGCTTACTTGTTGTACCTGTAGTTTCGTTTTTTATTTATCTGCAGCATGGATCTATTTCTTTCCTCCTGCCACACTCAATTTCTGCTATTTTCTGCATTGTCTTCTCCCAACCTCTGTGCCCTCTGTCACAAAAAACTATATTTCTGATGCGTTTTATATACATTTTTAATCCGTTTTTCAATTTTCAATTTCAATTTTATTCAAAAAACACCTCCAAGAAGAACATCAAAATTACAGAGAAAATACAGAAGGAAAACAGACAAATATCGGTTAAAAAACCATCCATCAATCAAATCAATCCAGAACAGCAATTTATGAAATGGAATCCCAGGCAGTACCAGTAAAATTACTCATAATGATATCAAAAAGGAGATAGAAATCCTCTCAAGAGGTCACCATTATTATTTTTAGTGTAAAAAAGTACTGATACTGTCTGAGATTCCATTACCGAGTGATTTTCACATTTTTTTTTTTACAAAAGAGTGAGTATTGCTTATCAAGACAAACTTTTGCAAATGAAAACAAATTATACCTGCAAGTTAACATTACTCTGTCAATTAAAGCACTCTTGTAGGTGGTATCACCATTGGCATCGCAGTTAACTAAGTGTGAGTAAAACCTTTTGGAAATGGAAGAATTATTAAAAATTTGGAAGACAAGGTCAAGTTCCATAATGTCATAAATCTTGGAATTTCAAGAGCAATTAATAAGTTGGTGGTTCTACAATAGTTAGGAAAACCGAGAGATGCTTTAATGCAATACAGTGACTTCTATAGGTCGATACATTGGCAGCTATAAGTTAAAATTAGGGAGAGGTTAGTTTTCAAAACATGTGACTTGACATCAGTTAAAGCCCCATTTTTACACAAACCAATACTTGTAAGGAATAAAAAGCAGGTTGACATTGCGGACTCTATTACCAATTTGTACAGGTACATCACTTTGAAGTTTTTGCTTAGGGCAATAAAATTAATGATTTTCATTTTTACACAGATGTAAAGTAAATTGCAACGAAAAGAAAAATCCTACAAATAGATTTTCACTCGAAGGAAGAGACAGAAAATGGAAAAGAGGAGTTGTATATTACTATAGGTAAATTTTCTATGGTTATTTCAATATAATATAATATTTTGATATTCGTCTTTTAATCGGTAAAATTCAAATAAATACATACATAGGCCTGCACATATACATTGAGGTATTGAACATACTCCATAGGCTGTATTACTATTGTCAATTATTAAAAGGTTGTAAAGAATAAAAAAGGAAGACAGTGTATAGGACCGTAAGTATAATATAAACATGTAGGTGGAAATAAAAACCGTGGTCATATAGGAAAATGATGCTATAATCGTATCGATTTACTTTAATAAAATTGGAATTGTATACTGAATACATCTGTCAGATGAAGTTGTATGTGTTAGGCTGAAATTCACCTGACCTAAGGTATACGCATATGTACATTACATTCATGATGGTGCTTTGTGCCAATGGCGACGACGTTGACCAACAATGATGATAATGATATTATAGTGGATGCTGTGGCATTTGGTAGTGAAATCTCGGAGCATGTAGAGGTAGGGTAAGTTGAGTACTCTTGTATGACATTGCAAAGCAACTGACGACACGGGAGCGAATGTGAAAGTACGTATATACATCAGCATGTGCTCGATAGACAGCTACTTCGGTGACAAAAAGTCATTATTATTCCCTTCATTTAATCTGATGTTTGATGATCTATGATGATCTATGTTATAGTTTTTCAGACCGGTAGGTTTCCAATCCCAGACGTTCATTGAGTACCTAGGTTTTCTATTATGATTTTAGGCTTTGAAATAATCGTAATTATATTATTCTAGATAGATGATGATTATGACGCCTCTGCTACTGCTCTGTTTAGGATGCTGATGTTGATGAATATGACAATGATGGTATAGTGAAGGCAGGTGCAAATCAATAATTAAATATCACAACACTTTATCAATTCTTGATAACCTGTATTTTCAGATGGGAAATTCAGCATCGTAGAGATAACGTCTTCTGGTTTATAAGCACTGATGAGTGGCTACCAAAGTCGGGCACGGGAAATAATGTTGCTAATCTATGTTTAGACCCCGGAGTATTTTTGGAGCTTGAGACTTACAAAATTCGACTCGTTGCTTCCAGGAACAAAGATTTTAGTAACGCTGGTAATTCGACATTGTATTGTTTTGTTGAAACATGGTTTGTTGTGTGAGTGAGATGTGTATATTTTAAAGTTAAAGTTGGTGTTTACTGGAAATTTGAAATAATGACACGAATTAATCGCAAAGCACATGTTTCAACGCAAATTGAATCTTGCTTTTTTATTTGTAGGTCTTGCTACTTCAACCTTCTTAACCAACGAGCGACCTACATTAGGTTACTGTACTGTGTCGCCGTCGAGTGGGATCGCAACTGACACTCCTTTTATGATTAAATGTTTTAATTACACGGATGTTGATACGCCGCTGTCATACCAGTTTTCCATTCGCTCAAACAATGCAACCGAATGGAACATCGTTCACACAGGTCAGAATTATACAATAAAATAAATGAATGAATGATTATAGAGCATTTATAGTTGTCGTTATCACACATTATTAATCCTTTATTTCACCCTAGTGGACAGGCCTCTGTAGGCGTCTACAGGCTGCGTAGGATTTCTGATGGATCAAGTGACCGGGTAAAAGCCCCTGTGTTTTAGGTATTTAGATGGAAGTTAAACCATTATCTGTCCAAAATGAATGACATTTTTCAACTTCTTTTTTTTTTCTATGTTTTAACCATGGTCACCCGGCCCTGTGACACTTTCTTTGGCTGTTACCTGCTTTCGACGCTACTTTCAAAATTAATATGAAAAGATTGTGCAGAGAAAGAAAAAAAAATTTTTTCATGTTTTCTTTCATTTTAGGCACTAGTTCAGAAATGGCAAAAACATCTCCATTTGGGCCAGGAGACCCGGATAAAGACTACATCAGGACCATACGCGTAGTTGTCACAGACGGTATCGGTTCGTTCCGGGTAGATGAAAGCATGACGGTTAAGGTATGAATAGTCATCAATTATTCGAAACATCAATAAGTCGGCCAATTATTATATCATTCACATAAACATGTTACATAGACACATGCTTTTAAATCAGGATACAAAAAAAAACTAATTGTTAAGTAGCATATCTTACAATAAAAATACGTAAGTTCATAAGATTAACGTTAATATCAAAATGTATTTATTACAGAATATATACCTTTTTTATTTGGCCCAATAAAAACAGATAGCATTATAAACAATACTTGTTGGTTCAATGTTGGACAGACGACACCTTTGTGGTCACAGAAGTATGGTGTTTCTTTCTTCGTCTAATATTGTCCAGATTATTTATATTTTTTGACAAAAAACACTGCTGTATGTCCACGGTGTGCCAATGTAACACTTAAAATAATGTGTCAGTTGTTGTATTAGGTAGGTTGGCGCTCAAATATGCCCCTAAATAATTTGATGATCTGTCCAGAGTTTCTACCGATTTATAAGGACGCGAGCTGTGTAAATATGCTAATTTTTCATTTTCATAATTAATATTTTACTGATCAGGAAATTTACGCTAAATACATAATTCCCATAAAAACTTTATAATTTGGGAGAAATTGTAATTTCCTTTATGTCGTTGCCGTTGTAGTAAATTGTTTGTTACCACGATATAAATAAAGTTTGGAAAGTCCGATTGGTTTCAGAACTCACATCGATTCTCAAAGAAAACCACATCATGGGGAGGTTATGCTGCGCAGCATAGAAGGAGCATTTCTCTTTTCAATTTTTAATTTTTTGGTTTTTTGTAGTTAAAAATATATTAATAACTATAAAAAATATCTCTATATCATGATTATGTCCAGTATTTTTTTTATTAGTATTCTGTGCAATTTTGATGTCATTTATATATTGTTAAAAATAAATAAACAAACAAATAATAGTTTAATAACTATTATTTCTTAAAATATATTTAATAATTTGTACTATTCTCTATCTTGACAAAGTTAAGTGTTTTTATTTATTATAGTTCTGTGCAATTTTTATGTAATTTATATATTATAGTTTCCTTTTACTTCCTTACATTTCTTTATCATTTCTTTTCCTTTCTTAAGTTTCCTTATCAATTATTTCTCTTTCATTTCTCATGTTCCTTATTATTTCTTGGATTTTATGTTCTTATGTTCTTTATCTTTTCTTTCCGTTTAGTCATCACAAGACGTTGTGTAAATGGCTGAACATCCACTTCCTGTTCTTTTCATATTTGTCAATCCTGCTTAAGTGAATAAAAAGCGGCAATTTCTCTTCACTCGATGTATAAACTCTTCTTTATTTGGATGCATAGCAAAATCTCTAGATTTTCTATAAAAAAAAATTTGTTTTTTAAATATAGGTGTTGAGTATGCCGATAGCTATGATGCTAAATAAAGTAGATGTTGTCATAAATGATATAGAGAACTATGTTTCTGGAGGTGACACTGCTGGTGCTTCCAACCTTATTAGCGCAGCCGCCGGCATTATCAACATGGATTCTAACTCCACAGGTAGAGTTGATCATGTTGTTTCTTTTATTTCATAAGGAAAATATGTCAGAAACTTAACAGCATTTTAGAGAGCAAATTATAAAACCAATTGTTGGGAGCACAGAACCATTATACCTCCATGACAGAACTAATGCACTTGGTCTGTAAAAGTAGAGACAAGAAACATGTTGACTGGTGTTAGTGGAATATGCTAAAAGTAAACGAATGTAATGTCTAGGAGGCTAGGGCGGATGCTTGATTTGGCGGTGAGGAGAGCGTGCAAGGGTACATCGGTTTTGAAAGGTGGCGTACATTTCGTGGAAATGGTAGCTAGGCGGCCGAAAATGACACTTTTATATAGTAAGATTTATCATTATGAAATCACCATTATATAGTCAAAATGGAGCGCCAACAAATTCTCATGATCTTTTATCAGAGATTTCGGCAACCACAGAGACCTAATTAATATGCGTGATATACCATAGAAAATAAAAGTTAAAACATTGTCATTGATATATTTACTTAACCTACTTCAAAGCCGTGAAAACATTTCTGGAAATAGTACCTTCAGATTGCCGAAAATGACACTTTTATATAGTAAAATTCATCATCATCACATCACCATTATACATGAAGCGCCAGCAAATTTCTCATAATCTTTTATTTTATTTTATTTTATTTTATTCATTTGGCATGACGGCTCAGGAGTCACAAAAGCGGAAAATCCACTGTCGCCCGAAGGACGTGCGGCTCTCCCAATACACAAATTACCAAAAACAAAATAAATATATAAACAGGGATTTTCGGCAATCACAGAGATCTAAATAATCTGTGTGATATACCATAGAAAAGTCAAATTAAAAAACATTGTTTTTGATGTATTTACTTTACCTACTTCAATTACCTACTTCAAACACACCCATTTCAGTCCCACTATAGTTGGGGCTGAGGTGGTAAAATTTGTGGAAATAGTAAATTTAGATTGGGTCATTTATGCAGTTTATATATGTAGGGGGAGAGGGGAACGTGTCCCTTTTCCCCCATGATCTGCGCGCATGGGAGCACAAGAATCCACACCTCCTCAGTTCCAAACATGGTTCGAGAATATGGACCTCTGGGTGCCCGGAAATTGCACTCTCATACCTTAAAAATCTTACCAATAATTCATGCCAACAATAAATTCTTTTCTTAATACAATTTAGGAGAATGCGCTTGCACCGTTTGACTCCCTACATCCGCATCCACCCCAGAGAGGTTAGAAAAGTTTTAAGAATAACACATAGCCTAACAGACAGGAATCCTGCATCGGACATGCTCATAGAGAGAATAAGATAACCTTCTGAAAAATGTTATTAAGAACCGCTTTTATGGAAAGAGGAAAAAGAAGAACTGCGTTCCTCAATTATTAATTTAAAGTTAAACAATAATAATAGACAGTATTTCTTGCTAAAACGAAGAGCAGAAAACAGAAATTTCTGAAACAATGGATGACAAGCAGGTTATCAACATCATTTTTTAAATAAACTTAATCCAGTTCCAAATGAGTAATTATCTTGAATTCTTTTTTTTAAAATTAATTAATACAATTTAATTGAGAATACATTGCTAAACGGATCATTCACAAAACTTAGTGTGTGATTGAATCAACAACAAAAAAAAAAAGTAAGATAGCTACCATCGTCATAACGATTATTATTGTTTATAGAAGTTTTATATTATTTTTTTTAATTTTCCTTATTTTATTTTTTAATTGATATATTTTATTTTTAATTCAGAGGGACGTACGTTTTCGACTTCTTTGATGATAACCGAAGTTGTTGGACTGGATTTGAATAACGTAGGCGATCAAACATCAGCAGAATACAATACCCTCGTTGACAAAGTTACCGCTTGGGTAAGACTAATCACCTAACCCCTCTAACATGTGCGTTGGTAGTAGCCTAAAGCCGGGCACTCACTGCGTCGTACAACGAATGTAAAAATGATAAATCCAAATACACTCCCTTTGAGTGCTAGGTCTAGAAGACGGGACACCGTCTGCTGGTTGTCGGTGACAGTTTGACCAATGGTGACGCCAGGATGTTGTCCCCAATGAGAAAAAGTGGACGTGGTGGGGCGTCGCTAAAAACCTTCAGAAAGAGGTTCATTGACGTATCCCCCCAAATATGAAAATTTAGGGGTTTGCAAAGGCTTATTTAATCGATTATAGTCTTAATATGTACAAAATACATGTAACTTTTTTTTTCCCCAACGAATTGTGAGGTGGGGAAATGGGGAAAGGACTCCCCGACGGAGGGGGGGGGGGTTGTAGCCGCCACTGAGTTTGACCGGATCGTTACGATCCGTTGCGTGCGCGTTGTGGCATGTGTTTTTTTTTATAAAATCGCGTCGGTCGATGACTATTAGTCGTTTGTAATCCGGATCCTGCTAACCGTTAGCTGTTGTGTGTGAACCTAAGCCTAAGTGAAGTACCGTATGCTAATCTGGGTTATGTTGGTTGATTATAGTACACCAGTGATTGCGCGACAATTCTAGCGTTCGCTACGCCGCGCACAAGTTCACACCACTCGATTAACGTTAAGTTAGCGTAACACGTTTCATAACATAGCCTTACTTACAAATTGTCTTGCGCGCTAATGGTTATATTAAATGCTTTTGTTATGCTCCATTTTAAAACATTTAAAAATCTTCCTATTTAACAAAGCCTCCATTTCTGATCTCAAAACAGCTGCACTTCATTTGAGAGACAAATTTTTCTCGAGTGATCCATCCACAAACTGATTGTTATTCTCATGTGAGATTGAAGAGCTAATCTCCAAAAATGTTCCTTCTAAGTTGTCTCACTCTCGCCCAACAAGTCCGTGGATAAAAATGAAATGGAAATAGAAAAAGCATAGATTTTATTTAAAACAAAAAGCCAAGGTAAGCAACAACCCAAAAGATTAGTCAGCTTTCAAATCTTTTCAGCGCAACCTTCAAATAGAAATAAGAAGAAACTACTGGTCATATCAGAACTCAATGATTAACAATCCCGAGTATAAAAACCATTCTGGCGTTTCATTAAGGCTAAAAAGCAAGACACACCCAAAACCCAACCACCTAAGAATGGAGATAGGATTATTTTTGACCCCGAAGCAAAAGCAGAGAGCTTCAAAAATCAATTTAAGTCGGTCTTTACCAAAGAAAATCTGACAACGCTACCACAACCTGACACCCAACACCAGTATCCTATTTTTAACATGCTTGAAATCAGAAATGATGGGGTCCCTAAATTGCTTCAGATCTTAGACACCCTGATCTCATCTCAGCCATAATCCTGAAAGATCTAGCAAGCGAAATTTCCCCGATCCTTACGTTAATCTTCCAACAGTTTATTGATACTGGAGACCAGATTAACAGGGTGTCCATGGGTTCCCCTTTAGCCCCTGTTCTGGCAAATCTCTTCATGGGGCACCATGAAAAGATAGGGCTTGAACAGTATAAAGGTCCCAGCGGCTTATTTTATAGACGTTATGTTGATATTTTATGTTTACTCCGCAATGAGGAGGACGTTCCTATATTTTTTGAATATCTTAATTCACGTCACCCTAACATTAAGTTTACCTTTGAGAAAGAAGTTGAACAAAAACTTCCTTTCCTGGATGTATTAATTTCCAAATCAAAACATGCGCTAGCTTCTGTCTTCCGGAAACCTACTCGGCTCCTTACTAATTATTTTAGTTTTTGTTCATTCAAACTCGGACTGGTCTGGACGCTATTTGACAAGACATTCAAAATTATTTGTAGCTAAATGGGTTTTCATGAAGACCTTAAAGCCTTAATATCCATCCTAAGGAAAAATATGTTTCCGCTACACATCATCAATAAAATAATTTCGAAATAATTATCTTGATTCTGTATGCTCCTCCAATAAACGTTCTAAACCATCTGAGGCAATTGTTATAGATGCCACACATACCACCACCTTTTATTTTAAAATTCCATGGATATCGGCCCCTTTTCTAAGATTGCCTTGCATAAAATTCATTGGCTTTCCCAGCAATTATGTAATGATTTTGATTTTAAGTTGGTTTTTTTCTTCATTTAAAATCAAAAAATTGTTTTCAGTGAAAGATCCTGTCCCTGCCAGTCTCCTCTCTCGTATTGTATATAAATGTGTCTGTGCTGACTGTAATGCCAGCTATGTCGGAGAAACTAGCCGACACTTCTCAAAACGCGTGCACGAGCACTTAGCAAATGATAGGAACTCTCACATCCAACACCTTAAAATTCACGTAAATGCATGCAAACTTGTTGTTTCCATATTCTTGATTCCGCCCCATCAACGCATTATCTCAAAATAAAGGAGGCATTACATATTCAATGGGAGAAGCCCTGACTTAACAAACAACTCTACCATGTTAATTTAACTTTGTCATTCTGATTCTGATATTATTCCGTTTACCATTTATACATTTGTTTTTATTCATGATCTTGGTGTTCACAACTTGATACGGTTGAATTACGTATAGATTGAAACTTCACTTCGTTTAAATAAGATTGCCTATATGGAATCTCTGTACAATGATGATGACACTAGGATCTGTCGAAACATGTATGTCTGTCTCTTATACACATCTAGATGTGTATAAGAGACAGTGTATAAACTCTTCTTTATTTGGATGCATAGCAAAATCTCTAGATTTTCTATAAAAAAAAATTTGTTTTTTAAATATAGGTGTTGAGTATGCCGATAGCTATGATGCTGCGGGGGGCCGGGGGTGGGCCGGGCCCCCCACTTTTTGGCCAAAAATATATATGTATGGAGATTTTTGTATGATCGGAAATGCAAGAAAAGGAGAGGAGAAGGATGGGAAAGAGAATGTTTATCCAGTACCCGACCGAGTCACATTTTAGGGAGTTTTGATCAATTCCGACGAAATTAGAATTTAGAACAAAAAAACTTTTCGTGCATTTTTTAATGTTAAAGCAAAGAGTATAAATAGAACTATTTATTATTTAATATAACTATTAATACTCTTTGGTTAAAGCTCGTGCTTGCTCTCCTTTGCCTTCTAAGTTATAACACATAGTCCCAAACTCAAGAAAGAAAATTTAAGATAGATCGTTTTACCTAAAAGAAGGGCCTCAATCTGTAATGATGTTGAAAGAATATGTTCGTAATAAATAAAGCTATAAGGAAAATGCTTATATTCAGTTTAAAAAAACGAGTGTGGCCATATATAACATAAGAGAATTTCTTGTTGAGGTAAGCCAATTTCCTGTAAAAATTGCACATTTTAGGGAGTTTTGATCAATTCCGACGAAATTAGAATTTAAAAAACAAAAATTTTTCGCGCGCTTCACGCGCATATTTTAATGTTACAGCTTGTACTTGTTCTCCTTTGCCTTCTAAGTTATAACACATAGTCCCAAACTTGAGAAAGAAAATTTAAGATAGATCATTTTACCTAAAAGAAGGGCCTCAATGTGTAATTATTTTGAAAGAATATGTTTATAATAAATAAAGCCATAAGGAAAATGCTTATATTCTGTTTAAAAAAACGAGTGTGGCCATATATAACATAAGAGCATTTCTTGTTGAGGTAGGCCAATTTCCTTTAAAAATTGCACATTTAGGGAGTTTTGATCAATTCCGACGAAATTTAAAAACAAAACAAAATTTTCGCATTTGTTACGGTTAAAGCTTGTGCTTGCCCTCCTTTGCCTTCTAAGTTATTTAAAAAAATAATAGTCCCAAACTTGAGAAAGAAAATTTAAGATAGATCGTTTTACCTAAAAGAAGGGCCTCAATGTGTAATGATGGTGAAAGAATAGTCCCATGATTGTAATTAATACTAACCACGATGAAAATGCTTATATTTAGTGTGGCCTATATTAATAATAAAATAAGCCCTATGTCGTATTGTTTTCTATATGATGGGTGGGGGAGTATCACCCAAGACCCCTGTTACACGCCTGCTTATAAGTGGGGCCCCCCACTTTGAAAAACGTTCCGCCGGCCCTGCTATAATTGTATAATATACATTTTAACGTTAAAATAGAAGAATTTGCGATAGTGAATAAAAAGTTGCCCCAAACAGGATTCTAATCCGAAACTTCTACTGTGTATGCAGAGCCCTTAACCAGTTGGGTATTTGAAACTCCATTGCGAATTGAAATTCGAATAAAGCAACTAATACTTTGCACTCCTGCACATGCGTAGCTTGACAGCGCTATTTCTTTATGTATGGAAAATAAGAGATCAATATGATACGCCCTCTTCTAATAAACAATTTACGACAAGACAGGATTGGTTAAATAACTAAATCATGCGCTAGAGGTACACTGTTTTGCTTTATAATATAAATGATATAATATTATATATATAATAATGATATTATATAATATACAGAAGAGTAATTAGCCCCAACCGGGATTCGAACCAGGACCTTCTTAGTGTGAGCGATCTCCTTAACTTACCTGTGTTGATATGAGTCGTTAAGGTTTGTTAACTATTCGCTTTGTTTACTACAGTTTGATGAAGTACTAGGCTCAGATGAACTATATCTTGAAACAGAAGTACAGACGTTCATTGCATCCGAATCTATTGTGTTGGTGGGTTTCATATTTACACTAGAATCAACTCACACCACATCAAGCATAGCCACAGTCCTTGAAACGACGTCTCAAACTGGTGAAATCAGCTACAACACTGGTCCGTTTACAGTAACAGGTAAGAATTCCCTTTACATCATTTTTATCATCAAATCACATGTGTGTTCACTTAGTCAGCTCTGCTCATGGGTGTAATGTATTTCATGATTTCCCGTGCGTGTTAGTTATCATTTATTTTTCATTGGTGTACTGTAATTAACCCCTCGTCATCGGCATCTGTCATCACCACTGGTGGGTGTATCACATGTTACTTTTGTATGACATCACATGTTCTTAAACATCCCTCATGGATGTATGCCATCACCAATATATTTTATGTGTTGTCATAACTTGTCATGCGTGTATGTCGTCACTTCTTATGGATGTATGCCATTATCAGGAATTATGTTATCACCTACCATGCATAAAATGCCTTCAACTTTCATTGATTTATTCATCATAACCAAGATAAATTCAAGTTTATATCATCTGCTGACAGCTCGAACTTCGTCAGAAACTACTGCCCAATTGGTTGAACTTAGAAGAGTGATGGTCGATGGATTGTACGAATTAAGCAAAAACATCCCCAGTATTGGTATAATGAAACAGATGTCCAATGCTATGTATTCGGTGGCCAGCAAGCCAGATCAACTTAGTCAAGAATCGAAGGTGAGCTCAAGGGATTAAAAATGTATATATTATTGATCGATTGCTATCCGATTGATTGATGTACTGACAGACATTTGGCCCGACGGACGGATAGATAGACAGATAGACTGAATGATTGTTTGATTGATTGATTGTTTGTGTCATGGTTCGGGAAGCCTCAGTATTGATTTAGTTCAGAGTCGACTACTAAGGTTTGGTGGATAAAACCAAATACCCATACGGAACAAAATACGTTTTCAGGCAGACTACAATCACTGTAATTTTATTCCAATCTACACAGTATCTTTATTCCGATCTACACAGTACCTTTATTCCGATGTACACAGTAACTCAGGTATGCACCGCCCATACAAAAAAAGCCCTAAAATATAATTATAATAATTACTATTACAAACTTATTTAATTATTATCATTATCACAAAAAATCAATTGCAACAATTAACTGATATATTAATATAACATAAGCATTTACCATTTAATTAAACTCACTATAACATTGTCACTTAAAAGTCATTACATTATGGTATGCATGAAATAACATGTATAATAATTATTAGAATAATGATCTCAGTACCTGCATCAATAACACTAAATTGGTAGACACACTACGATTAAATACGGTATGCCATCACAGGATAAAACTAGACTTATTAAAATAAAGATTACTAGGATACATTTTATGCGAAAATTTACATTTATTAGTTTTAACCAAATACAACATAATATACTTATATCAATTTAATTCATAACAATCATTATAATCATTCATATTACTGAATATTATAATCGGTGAATAGCAAGTTAGAAATATATTAAGTTACTTACAGTATCGGAAAGGATACATCTTAACAAAACAAATATAATTAAACGTCTTACTCCGACGTAAACCAAAGGCATTCTGCCGATACAACGCTCACGCAGACGATGCTGATAATGATTGGGAACTTGCACATACATTTAACAGGTTTTTCATTGATAAAGTTACAAAGCTCAGAGAAAAACTTCAGGAAGCTCATCAAGGCATTGAGCATTTTCATGCCAATATTGAAACATATGATCATCACTTTCAACTGTTCACGCTTGTTGATGATGCTGATGTCTTCAAACTAATCAAGTCCGCACCAGATAAATGCTGTGACGCTGATACTTTTCCTACTAAGATATTGTCCCTTTTAGACACTATGGTACCAATATATCGACAAATAATTAACACATCTCTTTCAACAGGTATTTTTCCAAGCAAGCTGAAAATTGAAATTATCAGACCAATTCTCAAGAAGCCATCTCTTGATCCTGATGTGCTTTCCAATTATCATCCCGTGTCAAATATTCCATTTCTTTCTAAAATAATTCAAAAGGCTGTAGCAGCTGAATTGGCACTTTACCTAACCGAACATGGACTTTATGATTTACTTCAGAAGTACACAATGATCTTATCATTCAAATTGATAGGGGATACTGTATTTTATCTGTCTTTCTTGATCTATCCTCTGAAATTGCTTTACTTGTGTTTTTAAAGGTCTTTTACCAGGAGATAGAAAATGAAATATCATTGTGATTTTTGCTATTAATGTTTCCACATAAGTCGATTAATTATTGTTAAAGGTAGTTTTCTAAGCTATTTTAGTTTAAATATGGTATGTTACTTTTTATTTTAAAATATGTTTTATGTGTTTTTTGTCTGTATGTACTTTGTGTAGTGTTATTGCAAATGAATAAATTTTAAAAAAAATGTTTGTTGATGCGGGTGCGACACTACCTGTTCTGTCATACAAAATCATGTTTGTAAGGGACAAATGTTGTGTCTTTACAAAACATATTTTGTAAAAGACAAAACCATGTTTGTCTGTACAAACCATGTTTTGTAATAGACAAACCATGTTTGTCTGTAAAAACATATTTTATAAAAGGCAAAACCATGTTAGTCTGTACAAAACATGTTTTGTAAATGACAAAACCATGTTTGTCTTTTACAAGACGTGTTTTGTAAAAGACAAACCATGTTTGTCTGTACAAAACAAGTTTTGTAATAGACAAAACCATGTTTGTCTTTACAAAACATCTTTTCCAAAGACAGACATGGTTTTGTCTTTTACAAAACATGTTTTGTCTTTTAAAAAACATGTTTTGTACAGACAAACATGGTTTTGTCATTTACAAAACATGTTTTGTACAGACAAACATAATTTTGTCTATTACAAAACATGGTTTGTACAGACAAACATGGTTTTTGTCTTTAAAAAAAAAATATGTTTTGTAAAGACAGAATAACTTTCGTTTGCAGTATTACAAAACATGATTTGTCACTTACAAACATGGTTTGTGCGACAGAACAAGTGGTGTGTCGTTTTGGCGCCCCGTCGTCATTGTAAATAGGCATTTTTCTTTTTGACTACGCGGCCAGTCTACTACGAACTAATGGACCGTGACGGCAATGCCAAGACACTGTTCGCGTACTACACCAAGAGCTGTTTCCGTTATTTTTTTAAGGCGATTACGACTACGCAGCACACGGACGTAGGCCTACGGATGGGAGTTAGTCGACCATGGTTTTATTACCAGAGAACAATGTTCCCTTGTTTTATATTTGAAAAAGGAAATGTGAAAAAAAAAACTTTAGTCAAACACTGTATACAGAATAAAAAGTTTCCAGAAAACTCTGAGTGATGTTTCGCTGTTGGCTAGGATCTACCTAGGCTGGGCCTAGCCTAGCCTAGGTGTCAAAAGAGTCGTTAACCGGGAGAAGAGGAGTGTCAGGCCTGCTCAGGCAATTTGCTAAATGCACCGATGATGTACAAATAAATAACAATTTTAAACACAGGTATTTATATAGTAAGTCTTGATACACGAAATCAAGGGCGGATGCCCTAGCTAGCGGCACCAGATAATGTGTTTCTCCTACACGAAATCCACCCTGACAAGGATAGGCTAGCCTAGCCTAGGCTAAGCCAAGGCCCTTTTTTTCACTATACCCTGATTTACCTAATTTTATGTTGTGACTATTCATTTCTCATTTATTGCATGTGTATAAACAGGTCTTCATAAAACATTTCATTACTCACTTGTTTTAATAATTAATTCATTATTAAACGAACAATGCTCGATCGCGGATGCGATGAAAATTGCAACCCCTATCAAAAAAGTTAACAGCAGTTTGCCAAACAATCCGGTGATCTGATTGGTCAATATTAGGGTAGTCACCACAACTCCAAATTCAGAAATTGGGGTTGTCGCGGAAGCTGTCACAACGCCGATTTAGCCAATAAGGTTTGTGAGCATGCGCAGATGTCTGTTACGCTATATTAGTTCGTAGTAGACTGGCCGCGTAGTCAAAACGAAAAATGCCTAATGTTCGAATATGAGGCTGCTCAAGTTGGGTGTAATGTACCTTTGTGGAGTATCAATCAACAAGTTCACAACTGACCAATCAGAATAGTGCCAATAATACACGCCTGTCCAACAGGCACACGTGTTTTTTCACAAACGCACATGTTTACGTATATTTACGGTATATTTTTGTTGGACAGCTAACACTATCCAAGGGGCGGAGCTTACAGGAGAGGTTCATTCTTACAATAGTTTAAAGTAGTACTTATATTATATATTTTGTTTCAGTCGAAATTAATAGCGGCTGCGGAAAACTTTGCATATGCGGTTGACTCCATTTCGGGTGGGGATGTAAGTGCAGAAGAAGTTGAAGACGCCGTGAAAACAGTTATGAGCGCATTAGGTAATTATTGAAGCCAGCAAACAATTTTAGGAAACAGTTAAAAAGTATTTTATATACTTTCCGGAAACAGTGTAGGACCGTTTCGGCCGCGAACTCGGACCGGCCGTAATGTATCACATCAATTCGGATTCATTGGATGACTAATAAGTATGTTAATACTGCTAATATCTGTATTGACATAAAAGTAATAAAAAGAAATACTTGAAAGCAGACAACATGTTTTATTTATGTCAGTTCGCCAATGGAAGCTTGGGCAGGTAATTTCTCTAAGGAAAAAAATCCATGCCAAGTATAATAAATGAATTAAAAATGATATCAAATGAATTAATTAATATGAAGTAATTTTGTTTGTTCCTGAAGTCCATTGAATGTGTAGGCCTACAATTGGTTTGAAGGGTAGTTGTAGAGCCCAGTTGTTTAATGCAATTCTAACTGGCCATGGACAACAAAGCACTTTGTGACCTAACATAATAGGCGCTATATATATATATACTAAATACTAAAATAACATTAACTGGCCTATTCCCTGCATTGACAGAAACACTTTGAATACTTTAATTCATGGGAGTTTCAATCCAATGTTTTAAAATGACGGCTAATCTCGCCAACAAAACAGGCCTTAGAGATTCCACATACTAATTTGTAGAAAACTAATTTTTAATTCTAAGTGAAAAAACATATAATTTGATTAATTCCTATTTTAGATATTTGCAAAACTATTCTTAAGTGTACTACTGATTGAAGGTATTAGTTGAAATGTAATGTTATTATTTTTATTATTTATTTATGTAATACATTTTACAATGCTCAAATAATAAGTATCCTCATCTAAATGAAAAATTTATATATTATATTAATACGTATTTTGTCTGCTAATTGAAGAAATTATAAATTAATATGTATTACAGATTTTACAACAGTATACTAAAGTATACTATTGACTGAATGTATTAATAGAAATATAATGTTATTATTTATTATTTTTTTAATTATTTCATTTGTGTGCTATTTGTTATAATGATAAATTGATTTGCTAGAAATTATAAATATTAATTTTGTTAAATCATATTATTTTGTTATGAATTTGATTATGTAATATTTGTTATAATGATAATTTATTAGAAACTATTATTAATTATTATCGGTGAATCATCAAATCCCAGGAAAGTCTTTCGCGGAATCCAAGAATGATGTTGCCAGTGACGAGGACGCTTCAGAAACAGAGAGTACTGATGAAAGCGATGAAGTTTTTGGAACAGAATCTCCATTATCTGCAAGTGAACAGTTGGTAAGTTTACATTTTCCAATAGAATATTTAGAGGGAGTCGTTTATACATGTTTAATTTAATTGTGATTTTAAAGTAAATGCATAAAAATAAAATGCATAGAATACAATTGAACTTTAAACCTTGTACCAAGTACATGAACAATTACTTACTAAAATTGTCAGTAACCGCATTTGTCATGAATAACGCTAAATAACCGGTCATTTAATATCTACATAACACGTGTTTTTTAACCGTTTAAATAATCGGTAAAAACCTTGCAGTAGCAATGAGCCCGGTGATATAAAAGCAACATTGCTGCCATCCCTGGCCCATTTATGAGATTATAATACGTGTTAACTAGAAGTATACCGTAAGACGCCTCATGAAACAAATAACTCGCTTCCTAATAATTTATTTTAATGCAATAACTCTGAAATAATGAATGTTAAAGGCACACGATTATGATAAAGCATGATTAGATTGTCAAATGCTCAGGTTAACTTAGCACTATAGAGCATTAACTGTTATATTGCAGCAATAGTTGGATCTTGATTATACTTAGTAACAGTAGAACCCCTATTAAGGCGACACCTTCAGAAACAAAAATAGTATCTGATTAATAGGGGGTGTCCCCAGAAAATCTCTTGGCCGTAGTGTTAAAAGATATACGTTTCTCGTTTTGTGGCCGAAAAGTGTCCCCGGCAGTACGAATGTCCCCCATTAATAGGGGTTCTAATATATTTATGATAATTATTGTGTCACAGACAATCCAAATGAATTAATAATTCTTTTTGTATTTTAAATATCTTCGTAGAAATTGGAAAACGCAGAGATGGGATTGTATGTGATGGCTCTACTGCAGAATAAAGTGGCGTCGATGATGGTCACTGGACAAAATAATGTTATCATTGATTCTGGAGACATAGCATCGGAAGTTAGCAAAGCCTTCACGGAAAGTTTAAGCAATGGTGAGTAGCAGCCCTGAAGGAATAATCCATGGCTGCCAAGGAATTTCCAATCGCTAAGCTACCCTTATTTAGGAAAAATTGTATTAACTTCATTTTTTGAGACTTCTGTCTTATATGGCTATTAATTGAATATTGTATCCATTGACCATATCAAACATGCTTTTATTTATGGCCTTTCCAAAGGAGCGAAGCTCCGGGGAGGCTATTATTTTTGCCTATGTTCTTCATGTTGTCGTTGACGTCGTTATTGTTGCCACTGTCGTTGTTGGTCACTTGTTTGTTACCACGATATCTAAAGTTTGATAAGTCCAATTGATTTCAAACTTGGCAGAATGCAAGATGGTAATGGGAAGACGGAGCCTATTATTTTTGGTACGTCTGTGAATAGGCTATTTGATCATTTGCATAATTATTATTTCACTGATCAGGTAATTTAGGTTAGTTACCAAGGTAACTAAAGTTTGGCAAATCTTACTGGCACAATGCAAGATGGTAATAAGAGAACGGAGCCTATTGTTTTGGTACGTGTGTGTGAACATGCTAATTGTTCATTAGCATAATTAAAATCGAGTAATTTAGGCTAGTTACCACGATAACTAAAGTTTAGTAAGTCCGATTGATTTCAAACTTCGGAGAATGCAAGATGATAATAAAAAGACGGGCCCTATTGTATTTGGTACGTGTGTGAATATGCTAATTGTTCATTTGTATAATTAACATTTCACTAATCAGGTAAATTAGGCTAGTTACCACAGTTTTTTTGAATGATTTTCTTTTATTTAACCACTAGAAACATGTAACTAACCTGCAACGTTTCAGATGCACTTCGGCTATCTTTTCTCAGCCATTGATTCTAATGGTTGTCAACACCGCTATTTACGCTTCAATCGGTAGGTTAGTTTTCTTGGTCTTAGACCTACGCCCCGCACCTGATGTTCTGGGAATCTATAGGTCATCATAAAGGTGAGAAAGTTCATTAAAGTGTCCCTGTTCGTTACTTGGTTGGTTTTTCTGATCCAAATGCTTTCTTTAACTTGTCTTTAGAAGACCTTAAATTCACTATCAAGAACATTTATGTTATGCCGATCTTGGACGTGGTTGAAATGAATGGCATGATCTGTAATAGCTGATTTATGAGGTTCGGTGGATGTATAGGCTCTTGCTGGTCTGGTGCGGATACAAGGCACATGTTTTTTCACATTTATTTTATGTTCTTTAATTCTTGTTTTTAGTGGCCTACCGGTTTCTCCAGTATAGGTCCTCTCACAATGTAAACACAGGACTTCTTACACAGTTCCGCACCTTTCCTTTTTCGGAATCTTATCTTTAGTCTTGACTAACAATTCTTTTAGCTTGTTATTCGGTTTTATGAAACAATAGACATTGTGTTGCCTCAGATCTCTTGAGATTCTTTCGGTGACACCTTGGACATAAGATATTCCGACATTAACCAACATTTTTTCTTTCTTATCCTTATCGGTAGTAGGTTCTTTCTATTTTTCTTCTTTTTTATATCCTTCATAACTATTATGTTTGACCTTCTCCATTGTCCATTTTGGGTAACCACAACGTACTACACCGCGTATATAGCGGTGTTGACCAACATTAGAATCAATGCTTGAGATAGGATAGCTGAAGTGCATCTGAAACGTTGCAGGTTAGTAACGTGTTTCTACTGGTTAAATAAAAGAAAATTATTCACAAAATATTTATGAAACCAGATGAATTTATTCAAAGATATCTTTATTTACTTTATCCAATAGCGCGTTTTCCTTTGAATAATACGAATGCAGTGTAATTGGTGTTTCGTATGATTTCGTTAAATTTAGCAACATTTGGTGGTGCTGGTGGTAATAAATTCGGTCTTCCGGACATTAAAGCCATTGTTGGAGATGGAAACGAAACAACTGCTGATGTAGAGATTAAGGTAACCAACACTCTTTTACATATATATATACATATATATATATATACATATATATATATACATATATATATATATACATATATATATTTTCATGGAGACTGCCAACTAAAAGTTATGATCTTTTACCTACTTACACACCTCGACGCACACTTCGGTTGAATTTCAGGTAGAATCGTGCACTTCTGGAAGAAAGCATGAAACTTCCCACAGTGATATAACTATGACACCTAAAGATCATTTTAAAAAAAATAGACCCAAAAAATAACGCCTCCTAATGGCCACCATCTTGAAATCCAATATGGCCGCCAAAATATGATTTTAGCCAATATATTCATATCTACAGCACATGTCATTGCCAAATGAAGATCATTACCCAAGTTTTCAATATCAGGGAGTGTCATGCAATCATCAGAAATTATGTCAGATGGCGCTGCCATATTGGATTTCAAGATGGCTGCCAAATTATTGCTATTTTTGTCAATATTCATATCTACAGTACCTAGCACTGTCAATCAAAGACTGTTACCCATGTTTTCGATATCAAGGACTATCATGCAGCCATCAGAAATTATGTCAGAATGCCACCATATTAAATTTCAAGATTGCTACCATACTAGAATTCAAGATGGCCGCCAAATTAATTATTGATAATCTTGTAAATATCTTCATATATATAACCCCTAGCACTTTCAAAGATTTCTGTTCGTGTTTTCGATATCCGGGAATATCATGCAGATATCAGAAATTATGTCAGAAGGCCGTCATATTGAATTTCAAGATAGCTGCCATGTTGGATATCAAGATGGCCGCCAAAATATTTAATTTTTTTCCATATTTACATAAGTAAAGTACCAGCACTTTGAATCAAGATGGTGTATATGTATAATTAGGGATATCATGCAATCATTAAACATCTCATAATCTGTCTCTTATACACATCTAGATGTGTATAAGAGACAGGTATCTGTAGTCTTCATCACAAAGCAACAACCCTTTTGGAGGATCGACTGGTGGAGATGGACCCAAAGGAGCTCTTGTTTCTATGGATATGAAGAATGACACTGGCCAGCAAATGGTGGTGCGCGACATTCCAGAACCAATTGAAATAAGCGTATGTCGTTCTGATAAAGATCTTGGAGCAACATCGGATAATTCTTCCAACGATATCGTATGGACGTATTCTGAAACAACAATGTCTGGTACACCTATGCAACTCTCAAAACTTAACAGTGAGTATTCTTGTTAGCAATAGTTGATTATATAAACTAATACCTGACACCTAAAGTGAATATGTCTTGACAGGTATAGCTTGTTAATTAATATGCCACTTTGTGAAGGGGAGTAACTTGTTGTTGGATGCGATAAAAAAAATAACTCTGTTGTATGCTATCTCATTTCGATAATTCAGGAAAATATGTATGAAGTAATATTTTGCAAAAATTGTTTTCAGTGTTTCTGTTTTTTTAGAAATACCTATAGCAAATGTAATAATTTAATTACATTAAAATTGTTTTAAAGGGAACTAGGAAGATGATTTTTTTTTATCGTGCACTCATAAATGTCTCTGTAAATGTACTCGCAATACAAAAAAGGGTTTTCGTCAATTTTAGACGCGAAAACATCTCCTTCCCTACAACAGAGGCATTTTTCGTAGGCATTACCTGTAGATGACATTGGCCACAAGCGAATTATCGAGCTTATTTTCCACCACCTCCTCGTCGGCTTTTGAAGGGCAATCATGTGCTTCTTCGATTTCAACGTTATTTTTATAACTTTCTGATTCAAATAAAAGCCCCTTGGCTTATGTTCGGCCATTGCAAGCTTACGTGTACTCAGTCTCACCTACTTACAGACCGACGATGTACTGATTATGCATAGTAGTAGAGCGGCTAATGTTGAATTTCAGGTAGAATCGTGCACTTTTGGAAGAAAGCATGAAACTTTCCACAGTGATACTATGACACTTACAGATCATTAAAAAAATAGACCCCAAAATAATAACGCCTCCTAATGGCTACCACCTTGAAATCCAATATGGCCCCCAAAAAATTTGATTTTAGCCAATACATTCATATCTACAGCACATGTCATTGCCAATTGAAGATCATTACCCATGTTTTCAATATCAGGGAGTGTCATTCAATCATCAGAAATTATGTCAGATGGCGCCGCCGTATTGGATTTCAAGACGGCCGCCAAATTATTGATATTTTTGTCAATATTCATATCTACATTACATAGCACTGCCAATCAAAGACTGTTGCCCATGTTTTCGATATCAGGGACTATCATGCAGCTATCAGAAATTATGTCAGAAGACCACCATATTAAATTTCAAAATGGCCGCCATCTTGAAATATAATATGGCCGCCAAAATAAGTAATTTTAGCCTATGTATTCATATTTACAGCACATATCATTCCAACTGAAGATCATTACCCATGTTTTCAATATCAGGGAGTGCCATGCATCATCAGAACTTATGTCAGATGGCGCCGCCATATTGGATTTCAAAATGGCCGCCAAATTATTGCTATTTTTGTCACGTATCTACACACTGTCAATCAAAGACTGTTACCCATGTTTTCGATATCAAGGACTATCATGCAGCCATCAGAAATTATGTCAGAATGCCACCATATTAAATTTCAAGATTGCTACCATACTAGAATTCAAGATGGCCGCCAAATTAATTATTGATAATCTTGTAAATATCTTCATATATATAACCCCTAGCACTTTCAAAGATTTCTGTTCGTGTTTTCGATATCCGGGAATATCATGCAGATATCAGAAATTATGTCAGAAGGCCGTCATATTGAATTTCAAGATAGCTGCCATGTTGGATATCAAGATGGCCGCCAAAATATTTAATTTTTTTCCATATTTACATAAGTAAAGTACCAGCACTTTGAATCAAGATGGTGTATATGTATAATTAGGGATATCATGCAATCATTAAACATCTCATAATCATAGTAAGACTTGCCTATGTCAGTAAAGTAACATCATTTAGAAAGAAGTCCGACAACTGTAACGTTGGATTTCAAAATGATTGCCCAATTACGAAAGGTAGGCCTACATGCAAGAAATGGAAAATTAAAAGAAATTAATAGAAAAGAGTTAAGGAATAACAAATTGGTAATCAATCGAAAGTAATGAAAATAAAAAAATAAGTAAATAACTGCTTTGTAAGGTATGCGAGTAAATGCAGAGAGAGAGATAGATGTAGATATTTAACATCGTTTATATTAAAGCTAGTTTTAGCATAAATGAAATTATGTGAACATAAATTAAAAATTACATTCCAGTTAATTGAGAGAAGACACTAATATCAAATAGACCTCATGTCTATGAGATGGTTAATTATCATTTCAAATGATATATAAACATATGTAAATATTAAAAGGGGAAAAAAACGGAATAGAAAATTAAAGAAAGGAAAAGAAAGAACGGAAAGGAAAAGAAAAAACTGGAAAGGGAAAAGAAATTAAAAAATAGAAAATGAATATAATGAAGAAAGTGAAAATAAAAATAAAAGAAACATCAAGAAACTTAAGAAAAGTATATAGATAACTTTAGCATAAATTAAATTATGTAGACATAAATTAAATATCATTCAAGTTAATGGTATGAAGGAAATAATATCGAATAGATTTCTAAATATCATTTTTAAATATGTATATATATATCTATATATATATATTATATATATATATATAATTAATTTTTGTGTGTAGCACTCTGTTTATATAATTAAATAATGGTGAAAACAGAGCTTGAATAAATGAAAACTGATGTGAGTATCGTATCGGGATTAGCCTATCAAATAAAAAAAAAAGTTCCTTATCAACTGTTTGAAAATGTGCTCCTGGCGGGAATTAAAATGTGATTTCTTGCTGTCAAAGTGAGTGTCATATATATTTACCCCTGGTATATCACAGATATAACCCAACCAGGACACTTCTTCAAAAAAATGATATACTGTTGCCAAAGAATACAATTTAGAATTTGTTTATAGATATTGTTTTTAAATATATATATATATATATATATATATATATATATATATATATATATAATTAATGCACTTTGTTTATGTAATTAAATAATGATGAAAACAGAGTTAGAATAAATGAAAAGTGATGTGATATCGTATCGGGCATAGCCTATGAAATAAAAAAGTTCCTTATAATAATAATAATAATAATAATGACTTTATTTGAAAACGGAAAACTTGATCACAAATTAAATGTGTTTTTCACAAGGCCGTTTCTTGAAAATTAATATTCACAACTGTTTAAAAAGATGCCCCTGGCGGCGGGGATTAAAATGTGATTTCTTGCTGTCAAGGTGAGTGCCATACATATTTACCACAAGGGGCCCCTAGTATATCGCAGATACAAGCTCTTTTTACTTTAAAACGATTAATACATAACCAATTTGGCAACTTACCAATACATTTGTGGAACAAAATTTTTGATGTAAAAATAGTACCAATGTTAATGTATAGCAGTGAGATCTGGGGAATCAATGACATACCAATTATTGAAAAATTTCACTCTAGGTTTTGCAGATTTATTTTAGGAATAGGCAGCACAGCTCCAACTATGACAGTTATGGGTGAATGCGGGAGATTTTCACTTTCTGTTGCTGGTATTAGAAATGCTTTACGTTATTGGTTACGTTTAATCATGGAGGAAATAAAACGTTGTTTTATTTCCTCCATGGTTTAATTAATGCAGATAATAAAAGTTGTATTTACAGTTGTTATAGATTCCAGTTAAGAAGATTACAGTCCAACGATAAATCTTGATTGTACCATGGAGGAAATTATTTCCACGAATCATTCTCATTTTACTTCGTAAATAATGGTCTCGGGCCCATTTTACAAATCATATGTTTTTACCATATTCGGACATACAAAATATTCTTTTTTTAAATGCTTTCTTTAAATAAATAGATAGACGACGTATTTCATGAAAATTATGATTTACAAAAATATCACTGAGTGAAAATAAGCTTAAGTCGGGAATGTATTGCTTTCCCAGGCCTTTATAAAAACGACACACAAACAGGAAATGGGTTTCGTCTTCTATAACATAATTATCGCAAAATAAACATATTCTGCTTTCTCTAGTAATATCATATGACGATCTCTTTCTATTAATAAATTATGGTTTTACAAAAGAAATCTTGTTGTTCTAAGTTTAAAATTTAAATGAAATATATATTTGTTAATGGAATTCGGTATGTTTAGTTTGCTATAAAATGTTAATCTTATGTTATCTTATATATATATATATATATATGATATATAGTAATAAAACGCATAAAGCAAAAGTGTAGAGTAGCCGTAACTTTTAATAGTTAAAAACACAAACGTTTTCGGGCATCGCCCTTGCTTTATGTGTTTTATTACTATTTTATTAAAGCCGATGCAGCCACCTACTCGTTTGATTTTATATATATCGTCCCTTATATAATGTAGTGGCGAATGTGGAAAAGTGCATTTAGAGAAAAACGAATTTAAAGATTTTTTAAAATAGTAATTTCTATTAGCATACCTTCTTTTTATGAAATTGCCTAAATTTATCTATGATTAGTACATTGCCTCAATATATACTGAATATACATGTGTTGTATGTCTGTGTTACAATTTCAAACTTAATGTTGGAATTCACTAAGCTACGTTTATTACATAATAACTGTATAAGCTACAATCTTCTGCAAACTATGTGATAAAAATTTACAGTCTGTTTCATGACAAAACACATAATTCAACTTGAAGCTGTACAATAGTAATGACCACAATTTTTATTATTACATCTTACAGCCAATAACATCAGTGACGAGCATCTGTACCGAATCGGCGGTGGACGCTCAGTTAATTTCGAAATTATGCAGCGCTGTCTCTTATACACATCTAGATGTGTATAAGAGACAGGCTCAGACTAAAGAATACATGAAATGCATGATTGAAAAAGTGGAACTCTTCCTTAATCAAATGCGATGGAGAGCATTCTTCTTCCTAAACCCGACAGTAACAGCACCAAAGAAAGAGACCTTCAAATTCAAGACTTCAAAAAATCCACCGCAAGTACCGGAACTCAACGCATTTTAAGACAAGATGCTCCACTTTGTACAAAGCATAAAGTTTAAAGATAAGCCTAACTGCCAGTTTCAGAAAAACCTCGACAAAGACGTCAAACAGATAAAGACGGACAAC